TTTGTTTTGCTCCTATCAACCTCATCTTGTGCATCTAGATTCACTGAAATAGAGCTGATAACTTGGAGGAAACTACCTTTGTAGCGGGTTGAGGTTTTTTTATACGCACATTAAAAATGCACATAAAAAGACACCAATTGTTATTGAGCTCGAGGTGCTGCCCCTTGTGCTTTTTGCGAGGCATTGGAAGAATAGATAGTAGTAACAAACATAACCAGATAGCCAAGGTACTACATGCGTGTCCAACTTTTAGTGGAGAGAGCAAATGCAAAGTAACTCAAAGGTTTGGCTTAAGAGGCGGGGCAGTCAGAGCCGGTTACCAAGTTCAACAGACAGTCAAAATGAAAAGAAATGAAGGCGGACAAAATATAAAACAAAGGATGGAAGAAACCTGGCATGGATCTGAATCTAGAGCCGGTATCCTACGGGAGCTAATGGGGCAATGTGACACAGCGTGGGCGGCCTGGTGGAGACACACTGGGGACGAGCAGCTGGACAGGGAGGGGAATCCCGGGTGGCAGGAGAACATGACACAACACCACAGTACGGCGCTAAAGTTAAAGCAGGATGACAAATTTCCTTTTTTTTATTACAGCAGCACAGCAGCCATTTCAAGCAGAGGATAATAAGCTTGCAGCGTGTCTGCGTGCGGAGTATGTGTCATGCAACGTAGAGATCTGCCTCCTACACCGTGTTGTGTTTTCTCAAAATACCGACGTCAACATCTCACCCACACCGCCGCGCTCTCTCTCCACTCTGAAAGCGGGAAACGAGAGAAAAAACAACAACATTGCATTAATTAGTGTCAGACTTGCATAAATGCACTGCTGACATCACTGGCGAAGCCATGAGCGCGCGCACACACACACACACACACACACACGCACAAACTGTCTCAGTCTAGGCATGTACTAAACGCTTGTCTCATCTTGGTGTTGTCGCCGTTGTGACGTCCATTAAGTTTCTCCGAATCACAGTGCGGCATCATAATGCCTCCCACACACACACACACACACACACACACACACACACACACACACAGCCTTGCTCCCGAGCTGTCACTTGCACCACGACAAAGCTACGTGAGAGTGTTCACTAAAGAGCTCGGCTGAGATGGCTGGTCACGTAATTGATCAAGGTTGGCCAACTAGCTTGTGGAGCTAATGAATCAAGACAATGGGCTCCGGGTTTAATTATGGCTGTGAGGAGAGAATCGTTACGGGGAGTTCATCCGAGGGAGGCAAACTCTCTCCCCATAGTTCCCAGCCGGGTCATGTGATAAGGACCTTTTATCTCACGCTAGTGCTTATGCACTTGAGCTCTTGGGTTGTCTCTCTCTCTCTCTCTCTCTGAAGATCCCTGTGTGACCTGAACTTCCTCGTAGGTTAGCCGCTATCAGGCAGATTAGCGCTTCTGCTGGCTCGTGTCTTGTTCGACTGATGAGAAGCAAGTCGTGGCACAGGGGAAGAAGAGTTCTTCAGGGCAGACCCTCTTTGAAGCTCCTCCTCCCGCTATTAGGTTGTGTTATCGGCCCGTTAGCGCGTGCTGCTGGGAGATTAGGTCGAGTTTACCACAACCTAATCATCGAGCAATTGATGTCACCGGGAGGCCCAGCTTGAACTGCTTAGGTGAGGCTGTACATCACGGTTGATTTATTACGTCCATTCTCAGGCCATTAAGCAAGCGCCCGGACTCATACAGAGTGCCTTCAATTTTAAACGACTGCTTTCTGGAGTGCTTTGAGGCGGAAACTTTGTCCTGACAAGACACAGGATGGAACCCTGACAAACATTTGAGACCAACTTGCATGTTAATTTGAAGTGATAATACATCTAGGATGGAAAAACCAGACAGCGGTCCAGCGTGTCTCGATGCTCTTTCATCCCTGTGGAAGGTACAGTTACTGCTGGAGCTGGGAGAAGCTCAGCAGGGTGTGCGTTTACCGCGGACACATCTGGTTCAACACCGTGAGCGCTGGTACCCAAGCGCTTCCAGGACGCAACACCCCCTTGCATGTCAGAGAGATTGTCGAGGCCGTGGAGCGAAAAGGGAAAAGCGTGAAGGTGAATGCGGTTTCGGATTCGGAGCCTGCTTGTCTACTCTTCTGATTCCTCGGTACGCGCTGCGCTGCTGTCCGCCCCCCCCCGACGCATGAAATGTGTCCCTGCATAACAAAGTGCGCCGCACAACTTTCCAAGCAAAGTGCAGTGGGGGGGGGCGACGGTTGGGAGAAACGGAGGAAAAACTGCGTTGTCATTTCTGGCTTATGTGCAGTATCAGTATCGTTTGGACGGCCCAATTAGGAATGAAGTGATTTGATTGTGTCAGTGTGTGTGGAACTATGATGTGTGCTGCAATGAAGGCGATGAAAACCCTACAAACTGACACACGGGTCATTCTGCTACATTTCTAGCCCGCGGTAATGACCGGCTAACGAGCCGTTTCGCTGAATCTCTTCCCCCGAACCGGCCCCTCCCTCGGAGAGCTCTCGCTGATAAAATACTGGCCTTGCAGGAACTCCTGTCATCCCTTTTGGTGTCTGGCAACCGGGTACTTCAGACAGATCGGGCACAACAATGGCTTAATTTGGCTCATTCCCGGACATATTAGACATGTGTTCCTGCCAAATGCAATTCGAAGCAAAGTCCAGTTTTCAAATATAATTGGCAAAATCGACTAAACTCGCGCCATCAAGTCAAAGTGCCTCAAGAATAGATGGATTTGTTTTTTTGTCTGGCCACAAAGTCTTCAATTCAATCATCATATGCTAAAACAAATGGAGCCGGCAGATGTCATTCAATCTCTCGAGAAGAAACCCAGCTGGGGACTCAAACCTACTTCTACAAGCCACAAATACAAACTAATCAACCAGCGCGTGGCCAACGGCGTCAAAGCCCACAGTAGAAACAGCGAGCGCTGGTTGGTGCACAGTGGTCGAGTGCAAAGAGAGCTCCGGCCCGCTGCACGCCTACGTAGCCGTGGACCGAAAGTTGAATAACATTCAATGAATATTTCCACAGAACTTTCTATGATGTGAAGAGAGTGGAATGAGCAGAAAAGCAGCAGCAAGTTCCATCACCATATTTTGTCTCCTCTTTAGGATACTCAAAATAATCCAAGCTGAGGCAGTTCTTGTGAACATTGCAGTGTACCTAAAGAACTGAAAGGCAAAGCATTTCAAGGTGAAATGCCACGCGATTAATAGAGGATTTTCAGAAGAACATTTGCCTGTGTTTTGGTTATATTCATGCCTGAATATATCCTATATAGTTAGATAGATGATAATGGGCCTCGAATAGGACTGCTGACCTTCTTTCTGTAGAAATGCCTCCTCTGCCAGCGCGGTACACACTGAGACACAAAGAATCAAGATGCAAACACATTTTCTAAAGGTGAACGGTGGACTTTGTCGTATGCTCTGGGTCAGTGTTAATCGCTTTAATTGATCTAAGCTTTGTCTTTCAGCTCTTGTCCTCTGCAGATAAAGATCAGATTTCTTGTTTCCTGCAACAACATGGCCACTAACGCATATTTTGGACTAGTATCATTCTCCTTATTTGACATTGAAAATGATAGAAAACAGCTCTATAAACACTTGGATATATTTTTTAATTTCCTTTACCGCAATGTGATGTGACAATAATTCCATAAGTAAAAAAAGGTAAAGATTGTCAAAATATGTGCTGCCCTAACTTTGCTTTGAGTCCAGTCAACTGGTTTGCCCGATGCTCTAGTGAACAGCATATACAGCATCTGTAAAACTACATGCCCATCACACAAGTTTAACCATGAACCGCTTTCAGTAAAAATCAGTAGATGATTGCCTGCCAACATGCTTTTAACAAAACAGCGTTTGCCTTTAGAAATGCTAAATGACAAGGTTGCTAAACTAGAGTTTTCACTGTGGTGCCAACACCAGTAAAGTCTCCACTTCAGTGTACAGTCAATCATGTGAACGCTCAATGCCATGATTGGTTGTAAGCATAATGGTGAGTCACACAGCGCATTGTTACAATACCACCAGCAATATATGTAAATTGCAATTATACTCATCATCTCAAAAATGAAGGATTTGGCAATGAGTCCATTCCTCTCCATTCAGTGTGACGCCAGCGTCACTATGACTTTATTTCACTTGATTATAACGTGACGGGTGGATGTAGAGTTCAGATTTAGGTTGAGATTATTTTTACCCAGCAAATCCGTCCCTTTGGAGTGTATTTTGTGCTTTTCCAAAATTAATGCAGGATTTAGAAAATGCAGGATTTAAGCTGTTTACACAGATGCAATGAGGGCAACAAAGGGGCTGAAGAAGTAGCACGGAACTGGCATGTATACCGCTCTATAGCGAGGGTGCTATTTGGAACAATTTGTGCCTTTCATGCTACTGCGAGGCCCGCTTACTTCTCATGGGTTTAGATTTGTGTTATTTCAGAGACACAGGCTGAGAAATTGTGGTTTCAGAGCGAAAGAAGGCAATGCTCTCAGTCCGCTAGGTCTGTTTCTAGTGTGTCCTTAAAAACATAACAAGACGTTTTTCCACATTATGCCTGGTTCTCGTCCAGCAACAAGTACCATGTGAAAGACCAATAAGTATTATAACTCCATTTCAATAAGGTACCAGGTGCTTGATGGTGACATTTACTTTATTCCCCACTCAGCATTTGTATTGTTCTTGCAACTCATCTGTCCATCCATCTCCATCCATCTTCACACCGCTTATCCTGCACACAGGGTCGCGGGGGGGCTGCAGTCCATCCCAGCCAACTTCGTGCGATAGACGGGGTACAACCTGGATTGGTCGCCAGCCAATCGCAGAGACATACAACCATTCACACTGACACACCTACGGGCAATTTAGAGTCCCCAATCAGCCTGATCCCCAGAGCATGACTTTGGACTGTGGGAGGAAGCTGTTCCACTTCTGGCACTTTATCAGTAATTCACATAATCATCTTTCAGTGGGTGAATTTTTTGAAAAAGTTTTATTGTCCCTGTTTGACTAATGATGCAACAAGCTCATGAGGGAGAGAGTTAGACGACAGACGGAAACGGGATATGATCTCTGGTGCACTGGGTCCCAAATTTGCACTCTGCTCTTGGCTCAGGGAGAAACTCAATGCACTGAAATATGAGGAAATAAATAGAGAAATGTTAGGGGGCTTCACACCTATTCACTATCGGTACATTCCCTTCCACATTGGCAAGCATCGAAGATTTAGAAAATATCAAATATAAGAAAAATAACATTGAGGACAAATAAAAAACATAAAAACACACATGAAAGACTCGAAGCAACGTGCATGACAGGGACCCGGGAGCTGGTGAGCTGGTCTAACACGGAGGCCTTTAAATGCTTTCATAGTTCAAATAAACCCCGGCCTACAAATCGACCCCTGCGCTACACCACTGACGGTGCAAAAGAAGGAAGAAAAGACTTCAATCTTAACTGAAATTGATCCATCTTGTAGTTTGGAGGCAAGCCGCCACAAAATCTGACCTCAATATTGACCAGATGATCGCGTCAAAGGCAGCGGAGCGGTTTAATTGCATTCAAATTGCGTGATGTAACGTCACCAATAAATCATTTGAGCGTGGATGTATAGCATGCTGTGAGGTATTATGAAGGAAGTCGTGTCTCTTTGAAGAAGTTCCAAGAGTTCCATCTGAACAGGCATTGAACCCGGGGCTCACTGCAGCATTTATTACTCTGGATAACACTTTGGCCCTGTGGGAGTTTATTCATGTGAAATAAACTAAAATAGAAATATCTAAGAAGATGTAAGGACAGATTTAAGAATCTTTTTGGGGGCGAAACGCTGAAATGACACGAGGAACAGCAACCTGTCATGTTTATATATTGACTGTGGTTAAGTACAACAACATGTTTAATAATGAAACAAAAATGCATGGACCCTTGCAGAGAATGAAATTAATTTTTTCGCCTAGGTTTAGAGATTGAAAGTGCCGGCTTTCCCCAAAAGAAAGAAAAAGGAGGCTTCGTCTCTTTCTGTGGATATCAAAAGGAGGCTGCTGCTGGGATCTCAAAAGCATGATAGAGGAACACAGAGTTTCAGTTAGCTATTTCATAATGAATCACTGGCTGTAGTAGCAGCTCTGAAGGGCCATTGAGAAAACACAGGAAATACTGTCGCTTGCAGTTAATTTTTCAGTTCATAAAGCATCAAATACATCAATAACAGAACAGGCTTGTACTGTATGCGAAAGCAGATTACCAGCTTACACATTAATTACAGTTCAGACCTCAACATGGAGAATAAACTCAAAACCACAAACCAAAGGGTTTGGGAATTATTCCGGCTGAATTTGGGAGATTGCAGGAATCTGTTTTTCCAAAACAACATTAATAATAGTTTCCATGATGGGGCCATTTGTTGTGATGCTGAAGTCGACAGGGGCAGGGGACTTATTCAGATAAATATTCCTTTTCCGATAAGGAGGCATAGCATTAACCGGACGTGCAGACCAAGGCCATTTATAATCGTGACAGCTTCTGTTTTTTGCATTATGCACGCTGGGATGTTTTTTCATCAACGTACGGCAATGCTATACTGCTTTCTAGTATCGCATTGACAGCTTATAAGTAATAATACAGCATAGTAGTTAGGACATATCAAGTCAAGGGCACATTTTTCCTTGTTTCCAGATCTCTCTTGGCTTCTGGATTCAAAACGCACTCCTCTGCTGCTGCCCTCTTCAAGTTGATCATAATCAGCCGTCTATTGAAAGTGGTGCTCGACATTCGGGCAGGCGGGAGAGACCCTGTGGTTCAACTCGGGTCCAATGTCCGGCGACGGATGGTAGCGGAGCACAGCCTGGAACGGACATTCATAGTCCGATACAGCTCCAAAGAGAGATGGCTTCCGCCGGGACATAAATCACAGCGGTCGCAGAGAGACGCAGCAGAGGCCCGTTTTAGGAGCCAGCAGGCACGCGTGCATGTGAGGGGGGGAAAGAGAGCCGGAGAGCCCTGGACCGACTTTTTGCACTCGATAGCAAAAGGCTCGACTAAACTGTTAGACATGCTCAACAAATCCCCATTTCACGTTCGGAGCTGCATAGAAAGGGCAGCCTCCCATTCAATATTGTGGTTTAGTTTATGGGGCAATAGCGGGTGACATTGTCCTTAGAATGTGAACAATACGAGCATGAGAGACGCTTAACCTCTCGGCCCAAAGTGTGAGAAACTATTCACAAAGGACGTTAGAGTGTGTTTATAAAGTAATTCAGTCGCTGCCATCCAAGAAAAACGGATATGAATGTAATCAAGACGGTGCAAGGACAAATAAAAAAACGTGTTAATCCCGGTGAAGACAAACACTTGCAGTCTATTTCCGGGTGCGCGGGCGAGACTACAAGAGGTGGAGCTTCCACGACGTATTCCTCACCTGCTCAGTGCGAAACCATTCAGAAAATCCCACCCGCTCTACAGTGTGACTGGCCAGGGGCTTATTATGTGTGAACAGCGGAGTGCGACACCGTGAACGAACGTTCTCGCTCCCGACTCCACGAATACCAACGGCGGGTCAGTTCAACTAATCTCCAAACTATGGCGCTCTAGGTGTCCACCTTTTCAAAATAAACCTCCGTCTTCCCGTTGAAGCTCCATTGAGCTGAGGGAAGCTGGATTAAGGTGATACTGCTCTGCAGGTTAACCAGTAAGAGCGACCACACCATCATGTAGCCATTTGACATGAGAAACAGAATGATCAGAGCTGCTTCAAATACAAATCGAGACAAAATCCATTGGCAAAGATATTATTCTGTGTAAAGAGAAATTGGGTCATGTAGATGTGTTTTTCGCTCAGTGTTTGATGAGTTGCCATGCAATTACAGAAGACGAATGAATAGCGTCAATACATAAAGATGACTCATCATCTGGTCTTGCAAACAGAAATATATATATATATTTCTAAAGAAAGGGAGAAAGGTTCATTATTGGCAAAGAAAACGGTGTGTAAGGTCTCCAGTCACTTCGCTGCCGTTGCTATGGCAGTGGAGACTTGGAGCAACGGGCATCGGGGGGTGAGAGGGGAGTATATGCCGCTGAGGGCTCAATGAGCGCTGCCAGCTTGTTCATGTTCAAAGCCCTTGCTGCAGAATTTTTGCACAAGTTGAGCAAACTCTCCAGTGCTCCCCCCACCCTCCTCCATCCTCAATATGACACACTTTTTCATCGCAAAATGTCAGAAGAGTCTCAAGAGGAGAAGAGGAGGAGGAAGGCAGTCGTTTCTCTTCTGAAGATTACTTTGGTTAAGTTCAGCCGGTCTCAAAGGCTGGCTGCTCAGACTCGTCTAGCGTCTGCAGGGAGCAGGAGGGTGAAGAGAGACAAAAGCGGAGAACAGAGAGGAGAAGAGAAGATGGTGTGTTGGGGGGAGCAGAAACACAGAGAACGAGCAAATATCCCAAGCAAAGCTGGCTCAGGGAGCCCAATGTGTGCTTGAGAGCTTCGCTAATAGGTCATTGTTCTTCATTGCTGAGATGAAAGCAGCTTGAGCAAGCAGAGAATGTCAAGCCCACATGTCCATTTGCATAGGCAACCATGCATTGTGCATGTGTGTATATGCCCAAGAATTAGGATGTTAACATTTGGCCAAGACGCCAACAGACACAGACTCAATTAAACTATCTATATGCCTCTGGATCCCATGCATAAATCAAAAACACACACACGCACACACAATTATATTCAATGGACACTTGATGCATACTTTTCACCATGTATACACACACACACACACACACACACACACACACACACACACAAACGTTCATGCATGCGCATGCAGACAGAGCCATTTAGAGTGCTAATGTGAGCCGGAGTGTTCTCTCGGCTTAAATGGTGTCAGCAATGGATCCCACCGCGAGACACAAATCTGGTAGCGCTCATCATCTGGTGCTCCCATCTGTCAGCCCGAGCGGGCCTGTGTGAGATAACGTAGTCTGTGTAAGTGCGCACTGAGGTTATACATGAGATAATATGCGATACATAGTTAGGTGGGTAGTGTGTTAATGTGTGTGTGTGAGTGTGTGTATTCAGGGGAGATAACGGGAGCAGGAGTGAGAGGGAGTGTGTTTTTTCGTGACTCCCTTTCGCCACTCTCCCTTCGGCATGCAGGCAGATCTGATATATAATTTAGCACTTTACATAATGCGGCCTGCCCCAGTTTAGAGGAATAAAGACTGGCGATAACCCTTTAATTCTTTACTGCGTAGACACACACAAACGGACATGCGGTGGCCCACAAAAGCACACACACTCACACACACACTATTGGAGCAGGTGGGTGGAATCGTGCCTGTTGCCTCCAACTGTTGTTCTTTGAAAAATGAGCGTAGTGGTCAGTGGAAAGTGCACCAAGGGATGTTTGGCATCAACATGTATTTTTAGACATGCTATAATTAGACATTATGTAATTACAGAGCACAAATGAGAGCGTTGCTGAGAAGAGCGCCGGCGTGTGCAACGGAAAACCACAGTGAAGCAATGAGGCTGAAATGAGCTTTACATTGTTCCTTTTGTTGACATTAACAACCAGCCTGATGGGCCCTATTCCTCTGCGACACTGAGCTCACTTCTCCAAAAATAGCCTATTTTGAGTCACATCCACTCTGCACTCTACTGGTTCTGTTAATAATACGTGTACGGAGTCGCAGCTCAAAAAAGCCTCCCTAAAATGCACAATTTACCAACAACATGTTTGCTAAACACGACATTACCCAGCTGTCATTTTGCAATCTAGATTACATTACATTTGTAATGAGGTTTGGAGTCAAGTGAGTCAGATCTACTGTACAGTGTGCAAATAATATCTCTATGTCCATGGCAAAAGGATCAGAACGTGGCCCTGTGACCAAGTATTAACAAGTAAATAACATATGGTGATGTTGTGAATTTATTCCCCTCAACGCACAAAAGGGCAACTCAAGGAGAACTTGAATGCACAAGGTTCTGTGTGTGAGTGGAAATTGCAATAAATTGAATAAAAGAGTTCTACTTTGTAAGTAGAGAGCCCATTGTCCCTTTAAATACAGCAAGGTTAGTACAATTAACATCAACTTGGGCGTGTAAAACTATGATTGACACATCTTTTGAAGCTCAGACACTGCACATGGGGCTCGTTTCCAAGGTAACCTGAACACCAGATTCTGTTATGTCCTCTTTACCATAAATTAACATTCACAGAGTTTAAAGAAACGAAGCTGGAATCACAGTAGATGACTGCATTTTGCCTCTGTGTCACACCATTTTCTGTTTAAAGTAACTCTTTTGCCGAGAGTTTCCATCACGCGCTCCATCTTGTATTTATTGAGACCGCCGGCATGTTAACGCTTCCTCCATTGCACGGAAGATGCAGTAAATATCTGTAATGACACCTCTGTCCCCACGTAAAACTGTTTTCATACGTAATGCCACATACTGACTTAACCTTTTCCTGACACACTAATTGTGTTTTGAAAGATGCAATATTATTATTCAGAAGCGTGCAGCCAGTTAATGTCCATTGTAGTCGTTAGATGAAAAAAAAACCAGGAAGCTCTAAACGTGGATGGAACACACGTAAACTATTGTTCACATGTTAGGTGTAAAAAAAAAAAAAGCGTTTGCATAATCAACTTGCTGTCACATTTAGAGCAGATCATTTCAGCCTGTGCCATCTGTTGATGTACTTACACCCCTCCCTCGGTAATCCACATGCACGCTGTCTAATACTGCACATGTGTGCAAACAGGCCACACGCGCGCTTACAGTTACACATGCACATACTGTACGCACGCATTAGATCGGCTGCTTTAGGCCAAATCCACATATGGGCCTGTGATCTGGTCTCTGAAGGTGTTTGGCTTTATCTTTAATTCAGTAGGGGACCGGTTCTGCCAGCTCCTTGATTGCTTAAACCACATTATCCCTCCACTCTGCATCCTAATGAGTGTCCACCGGGCAGAAAGGTGTGTGTGTGTGAGTGCGTACCTGCACGCAATCTGGAGTGCGCGTGTTCCCTTTCTCCGTCTGAGTATTTGGACACACATCACCGCGTTCCCTGGCACGCCTTGAATCTTCATTATGTTTAGCTGCGGGGCACAAAAACAATTTGTAACCTCACAAGGTGATGTAGCCACTAAATGGAATCTTTTGGGGGCGACGGCTCGTCTGCAATACCCGCTGCCGCCGACCCCCGCGTGCTAAACGGTTCATCACAAAGACAGGATGTTAAAGCGCCCTCCGAGCGCTCATCCCGACGCCGCAATCATTCTCTGCAGTCAACACGAGCTCACCTGGATGAGGCAGGGCAGGGATAGCACAACCAGCTTGCAGCAGGCTATTAGCTTGAGCTCATCTCAGAGAATAAGGAAAAAGCCAACGTGAGCTTGATGCATGAGTTACACAGTGTCATTTTGGGCCACCGGAAAAAGGTAAACTGGCACAACGACGTGTGAGTTTTGACGTGAATTTCTCCAACGCCAACGGCATGAACTAAGAAAAACGCTTGTCAGTAATGTGAGTGGCGACATCTAGGCCGCGTCACATTTGGAGCTTGCCGCCTCCGAATCACAAAGATATTAAGCACAGGGCTCAAGGTAATGATCTGATCTCCAGCACAAACATCCAGCATTTGGGAAATGAACTCTTCATCCATTACCGCATAGTTAGTGATCATTAGCAGAACCCTCTTGCATTCCAACATTTACTGAATTATAATTTCATGCTTTCAAGAACGAGCTTTAATTTCCCCCAAGTCGTCAACCACAGCCACCCCCCAGAGAGACATGTTCAACATTAATGCAATTATTACGCAGACATATGCTGCAGTTGTTATTTTGGCACTGCGAGGCCCTGTGGGCTAATAGGCCTGTCTGTTGCCCAGATGCTCATAGGAAAGGTTTTTGTCTTTGTGTGTGCGCGTGTGTGTGTGCGCGTGAGAGCGAGGGGCCAGACTTCTGGTAGAGCGCTACGGGAGCCTGTCCATACAGTGATTATGTCATGCATTTAGTGTGCCAGCTAACTTTAAATCCTTCTAAATCAATCCCCCCCATGTTGGCATGGGTTTAAATTCAAATTGATATTTTATCTTGTGATTAATTGTTTTTCGGTGATCCCGTCTCCCTCTATGCATGAAACTCACAAGTACATGAATGTGTTTGTGCACTGCGAGTGTGTAGGAGGAGGGTATGCTCTCTGAAAAAAACAGGACTTTCCGTCACAGCCACACACACACACACACACACACACACACACCCACTCGTATTAGTCATGTTCTCTCTGTCTCGCCGATGATGATCAAATCAAGTCCTGTGCCTTTGCCCGTACACCCCAGCTTGTGCATGTTGTCAGTAACCTCCCACAGTACACTCCCTGCCCAAGGTGACGCTCACACGCACACACACAACACAAAAAAACACACACGTGAGTGTCTGTACGCACACAAGCCTGAGGTGACACAGATGACAGCTCAATTCTGGGTGAGTCAGCTTCACTGTGTCCTTGCCCAGACGTGAGAAGGAGGCGGTGTGTGTTGAGCATCCCGTGTGTGCGTGTGTGTGTGTGTGTCTGTGTGAGAGGTTTTGTGAGGTAGGATGTGCTTGTGGAGAAAGGTGCAAAGGTGAAGAAGAAGACGTGTGAAGAAGAGAAAGACAGAGGAAATTGGAGGGGAGACGCAGCAGGTGACTTTGGAACAGTACCGTGTGTGTGTGTGTGTGTGTGTGTGTGTGCGGTGCTTGGACCTAGCCAGCAGGTGAAAATGAATATACTCTAATCTAATAGAGCGCCACTCGCAATGTGGCCAAAGAACAACGGGCGGCGTTGCCACTGCGCTCTGCAGGACTTTCCCACATCGCCCTGAATTCTCGGTTTTGGGCCCCGACGTTTCACCGCTATGGAGAGCTGACAGCCGACGCAAGACACCGTATGGCAACCACATGACGCGCCCAAACTGGGCCAAAAAAAAACAAAACAAAAATGCCGCTGTAGCCTTGATGGTGTGGACGCGTCGGATTCTGTCACGGCGCCACGTGTTTACTAATTCAGCGTGTCAGCTATGGCAGAAGACAGAGCGTTGTCACACGACGCTAAACCATTTTCAGCAATAATTAATGTCATGTCGGAGGAAGCAGCACTCAAAGGATCGCAGCAAACTAGTACACATCCAGCTTTATGACTGTCTATGTGACTCGACCTCGGGACATAAAGGTGATCTGAAGGCTGTGTCTGACCACCCATTGTCTTTTGCGGTGTCGCTCATGTATTCTATTGACTTTTAGGGGGTTGTTGACACCAGGTCGATAGCCACCCTGGGTGTTCGCACAGAAGCTCCACATTCGCTGCCCAGATGCCAAAAACATGGATATCAATTACTGGAAGGGAAGCAACAACAGCAAAGCTTGCCACTTCCTTTTGCAAGGAGCAAAACTAACCCACTGGTACCCACATGAATAAATAGTTACTAACTCTGCCACCATCAAACACTATCTACTTCCAAAGGATGCATAGACAACTGGCTATGAAACATCGAGGTGTGATGAAGCACTTAAACAATTGGTTCCACTGAATGCCTGACATTTAGACCCCGCTTCTTTCTGAATCAAATTGCATCATGAAATATAGCCTTTAGTAATCTGTGCGCATTGTGACTCTGCATCAAAAAGGGGGTCACACAAGAGGCACATTTATTTTTTAGCCGGCGGTGCTTCGTTGCTTTCAAGGCGAGAGCATCTTTTATGACTTACAGGCAGTGCAGATTTGGTATTTTGTTGAATAAGGAGCAAAAGGAAAAAAATATAATGTGACAGCACCATTCGCCAAATCTGCTAACAATGTCTGCTCCACGCTGATTTAGGATCTTCTAGTTTTTTTTCATCTCTGAAATTTTCACTGAGGCACCTTTTGCGTACCCCTAAAAATAATCCACAGCCCAATTTTGGGCTTTTGATTATCAGCACAGCACTCTATAAAATCTGAAAGGCTGTGCCAGTCAAAATCAAAATCCCATTCAAAGCGTAGGCCGCGGGGGCAATCATTAAAACATATTTTTACACTTAGCGGTATAAGGCGAGCTTTTTGAAAGGATGGTGGCTCTTGAAAGTTTGAAAAAGGAATTGTTGAATACATTGTTTCAAATGAAAAATTAGTACACAACATGGAAACTGTGTGGAATATAGCGGGTAAATCTATCCTAAATAACATTTCATACACCTTAACCGTTAACCATGACAGGACGAGGTGACGGCGTCGATCGAGAGGCAAACCTGGAGTTGCTCCATGGAAACAAATACAGGGGCACGACGACAGCAGCAATGGGGGCTCCTCAGCAGGGAAACTCCGGCAAAACATAATTTGCACTAAAATTGGCAAAACCTTAATTTACACGGCTGCTAGATTCACCTTGGCAAGGTGTGTTTTCTTTTTCATCTCTGCAGCACGGTTGTATGAGAGGCAAATATAAGAAGTGCACGTTGGACACGTGCGATGTTCGACTGGTTCTCCCTCCGTCAGCACTAAAGCTCCGGGTCGCTGTCGGGGCTTTGTAAGCACTTCTGTCCAAACTATTAACAGTTGTGGATTTAGTTTGAGCAGGAAAAAAAGGCAAAAAGAGATGTGAAAAGAAAAGAAGATGCGTTTGACATGAGGGATCGCACTTTGTGTCTTTTGCCAGCGGCTGCGAGCTCTTGCTTTAACAGCATCGCGAGGACATCAATCCATCCGAGACAGACTCGTCTTTGCAGGAAAGAGGATGTCCTTGGATCGACCTGCCTCTGCGTGTCTATGCAGCCTCCGCAGTCTGCACCCACATTCACAAAGAGCAATGTTAGCTGCTTCGTTTTGGACTAAAGTGGCAGAAATCAATGTCCCGCTTGAGTCATGTCTGCCTTGCATTTAATGGGAGAATATACAAAAACAAAACTGCTTTACGTGAGTGATTTTAAGCCCAACATGCCCGAGTGGTAGATTTTTCATTGCCTAGTAGCACTCTGTCAAGATCACAACCCTGTTTAGTACTCATAATTCCAAATGAATGTTGCGGTTCTGTTGTTTGTTATTTCTAATACCGCCATGGATCAACCAGATGGTACTCCCACTCCTCACACACTGGCGAGAACTTCAGGGTCTCTGTAGTTTCGTGCTCAAAGTGAAATGTGAAACATTTCTGTTCACTGAAAAATATATTTTATTTAGACGGCACTCAAACTGCCAAAAATTGCTTTGTTTTTGAAAGACAAAAGGTTACAGAAAAAAAGTGTATTTATTATTTTGTCTCATAGTGGAGAAGAAAGCAAAAATATGTCATAGCTGTGTGATGAATAAGAAGTTGTGACTTTGAGGCTGTTTCCAGCTGCGAGAAGTGTCTCAACTGGTTGTTTACAGTTTATTTTATGGATAGTGATATTTGGGAAGTTACACTCACATCCGCATTTGATTTACTTTGGGGACAACAAATCCCGCTTTCTTTACTAAATCCACGCATGCAAATGGTGCATATGTCCTCTTAATCCCTGTGGCTAAAAAGATAATTCCTCAATGCTGATAAAACTAAATGTGAAAATCCAGTCATTTCTTGCCACTAAAGTTGAGTTTCAATGGTAGAAGGTTGAACAAAGCAGCCCTTCTACTACCTCCTCCCCAAACTTCAGACCCCGGGGACTCCAAGGCGTCACAGGGCATGATGGGATATTTAATCCCTTTACCTTTAGCGGTACAATGTTCCATTGCTTATCGCCGTAGTCTTTCCATCACTACCCGAAAGCTCATGGCCTCTCGCATCCACCTGTCAAACTCCTCCCCCTGGGAGAGCGACTCCTTCCCACTCTAAAGTGTGTCATCAACCCTAAACGCCGGCCAATTCACCCCCCAGTACGTAAATAGGAACAAATTTTCTCTTTTCCTGATGACTTGTAAACTTCAAGTGTGCAAACCATTGACCCATTGACTTCATCCACACAAGAGTGAACCCCTGTAATAGATGTGTGGACTGTCAAAAACATCCAGTGCTGAATGAGCTGACCTCACGTCTACCTCTGAAATTATGCCGCCTCACAGACACACCCGCTTATTGAATCATTTCATTTATTCATAGTAC